ACCCCCCCCCCCCCGAATTATCGAGCTGGCTACGCCGCTGCTGGCCGGAACCCTCTGCTCACTGAATGGATTTTGCGTTGTTAATTAAGGCTGGTAACCGCTGGTAGGTTATAAAGCCCCTGGCAAAGTTATTGAACATCGTTCCTACAAGCACTACCAAAAGAATGACTTTATTTGAGTAAAGCTTTGAATAAAGAAAGTTATTGAATATCGTTCCTACAAGCACTACCAAAAGAATGACTTTATTTGAACAGCTCTTGAGAGCTGTATCAAGCTGATTGGAGCATTGATAAGTCGAATATTCACTCAACAGTCTTGGCCTGGAATTATTAATACTGCCAGTTATTAGCAAGATCTTAAACAATTATTAACAATGTTTCTGACGTTACTCTGAGTGTGTATCCACACCGGGCTGGCTGAAACGTTTGTCTGACCACGGTGGGAATCGAACCCGCGACCTTTGGGATACTAGTCCAATGCTCTACCAACTGAGCTACCGGAGATGAAGTTGGCAGAGCATTGGATTACGATCTCAAAGGTCGCAGGTTCGATTCCTACAGTGGTAAGGCAAACGTTTCAGCCTGCCCGGTGTGAATACACTCTAAGAGTAACAGTACATCAGAAACATTATATTCACCTGAGTAAATAACATCAAAACACACAGAGAAAATATCATAATTATTACTAGTAGACAATTTTGAAACGGCCAGGGGCGTAGGAACAGGGGGGTGGCACAGGGGCACGTACCCCCTCAAGTTTTTTCAAAGGGCCAAAAGTGCCCTTTTTGTGATGAAAAGTGTCCTTTTTGTACAAGATAATGTCGCTGTAAATACTAAATTAACATCCGAAAGGTGCCCTTTTTGTTTGGAAATTTCGATGTTTTTAAAAAACAATTCGGTATAGTATAACGGGAAAATTTTTCTTCCCCGTCGCCAACATTTCCGGAAAAAAATTTTTAGGTGCCCTTTTCAATATCCAAAAGTGCCCCTGGAATCCGATGCCCCCCCCCATCTTTTGATGCTTCCTACGCCCCTGGAAACATCTTTCAATTTCACAAATCCGTTCATTATCGCCTGCCGTTAGACACAGTAAAATAATAAAGTAGGGCGCAATGCTGGGTTAACCTATTACACTGCATGCGCCCGATTTACTATTTTAACTCAGCCTGTATGTCTAATGCCAGACAACATTACTCGTCAAGGGGCTGAGGCCACTTGATAGCTCGGATACCCTAGGCCTGGTTTTCACATTGAACTGATCCTGCTTATACTGATCAACCTTTAGTCGTCTCTATCTTATTCCATTTAATAAATTATATAAATTATATAAATAGATTCAATTTACAATAGACATTATAATAGAATAAAAAAGTCACAGTTATGAATAAAATTTAAAATAAATAAGAGTTGTGTAACTTGCAACTTATAAATTCTCTAGTTGTATGAGACATATTGTAATAACTATTCATTCACAATTTCCTTATCACCACTCACTGTACTCGACTTCTTGCATTTTCTAGGCGGAATTTTGTGCGCGGAGCAGAATTTCTCTTTGTCTTGTGATTTCTCGGGTGGAATTAATTAGAAGACAAAGAAAAGGAAAACGGCCTTAACTACAGGGTGTATCAAAACTAGGGATCCAAGGATAGTGTGAAGTTTCAAATTAAAAAAGACACTGCAAGAATTATATAGGGTCGCCGACAACCTAGAAAAGCTGATGGCTTACACTACAAAATAAACAGTTATACCAAAGACATTTCATCTCATCTATTGACAGTATTGTCTTTAATGCGTTCGGCACATGAATAGCGAGACGCTTGAAACAACTGGCTAACACATCAAAAATGTCGTGCCTTGTGGAAGTGATACAATTTATTTATTTGTTGTGATGCTGCACGCGACAACTCGAAATTTAAATTGTTTCACCAACAACCAAATTTTGCATATTCTAAAACTACATTTGCTTTGGGAGCTGTCGCTAAAAGCATCCCCACGAGGCTACTGATAGGCTAAACTTATTTAAAACTATGATTATTCCAATAATCATTTTAGCGCCCATATTACATTTGACTATTGTCTCAGTGACAACTTTAATTGAAATACCTGTAGCTGTACAGGATTAAAGATATGTTATGAATGGCATGCAGTAAAACACTGACTACCGGAACACCACCGGAACACCACCGGAACACCACCGGAACACCACCGGAACACCACCGGAACACCACCGGAACACCACCATTTTGTTTGGGGTTAGGGTTAGGGTTGGGGGTTAGGGTTGGGGTTAGGGTTAGGTGGTGTTCCGGTGGTGTTCCGGTGTTCCAGTAGTCAGTATTTTACTACATGCCGTTATGAATAATGCCAATAATAAGCACTAAAAGGACGTATTTTACCCCCATATCCGTTCCGTGTATCCGCTCCGTTCCTCATCCGCTTCCGCGCTTTATAATAGCCTAATTGTGATTTGTGAGTCGTGACATGTTCACAACAACAAGTCTCATTGACCTTTGACTTTATATTCCCAAGATCATATGCATACATGTCCAATGTCACGATGCGACACGGATCGTGAATATAGTTCACGATCCGTAACACATGGTGAAACAATCACGATACGCCACGGATCGTGTATGTAGTTCACAATCCGTAACACATGGTCAAACAATCACGATGCAACACCGATCGTGAATATAGTTCACGATCCGTAACACATGGTCATTGGTCAAACAATCACGATGCGACACAGATCGTGAATATACTTCACGATCCGTAACACATGGTAAAAAACCTCAAGCTGTGCATGTTTACCTCCAACAGTGCAACAAACACTAATCATGCGATTGATGCCCACTAAATCCGTACGATCCGTGCACATCGTGCGTATGGTGAAAATGAACAGATATTTTCATTCTTATTACTGTACATACGTTTACATTTTCATTTATCATGCAATGAATGTGTTTTGTTATTACAATAGCTCATATATGTTTACTGACATTTTCATATATGTAGTGTGTATGCGTCGTTCTCCAAAAGGCGAAACTAAAAGGAATGAACATATATTTTCATTGTTATTACCTCATGTATATTATACATTCTAAATAATATATCAATGCATGTGTATGCCTCGTTCTCCAAAAAAGCACGAATAAACACACATTCTCATTGTTAGCCTATATATAAGCTCCTATATATTAATATTATCAATGTGGCATTGACTAAATTATCAGTGTTATATATTAGCTACCTTATTTGCTTATGTCTATAGTCCTGATTTGTTTGTGGCTAGTGCGGTTTGCCTCGCATGCATTACATTTAAATATTGAAGCTCACTCAAGCGGGATTTTAACTGGTATATATTCACCGACACCGCACTTGTCTAATTACTGGTTGTCTGGTTGGCTTTTTCTCATGTGATATCATCCAACAAAATCACTGCGAATCACTGTTTCTAAGTTAATAAGTTACGACACTAAGTCTAAGAATCACTGTTACGAATTTAAAACACTAAGAATCACTGTTTTAACTTTATAAGTTACGACCCAGTATCTGTCATTTAAAGGCGACAGTTTTATTGGCCCTTTTCATACTATAGACGCATTATGCGTATCTATGGACTTCGGCAAGCATTTATTATTCGCCTGGTTGAGTGTGTCTTCAATATAAAGACGGACGCAACATGCTAGACGAACTATGTTCAATTTTTCGTCTGAGACCCACACCAGTCATAGCTCGTCTACGGCACGCATAATGGGTCTGGTGCCCGCGCCTTTATAATAACGACACGTAACAAAACAACATATAGGTTATTGATCTGATTATTTGTCCCGTCTTTATGCAACACAAATAGTGTACAGCTAGCACGTACAATAAGCCCACACGCATAATACGTTCCTCTAGCATAATATATAATTATATAAACACGGCTAATAGTTCACATCTAGTCATTTATTCAACGTTATCTCTAAC